TGGCTCTGGTTGTGTGCGATTTGAATACATGCATGTGAGAATTCTATCGTGATATTCTCAACCAACTAGCGATCGAGAAAATTAAAATAAATCATGCATCAGGTTGCTGGTCATTTCGCTAAAAGGGAACGCTTTCAGCAGCGCTATTAACTGGAAAAAAACGCCTGCAGTCTATCATCATCATCATCATCGTACAGTAAAATACAGTGAGGCGAACTTCACTGATCACTGCCAAACTCGCCTGCAGTCTAGGAATTCAATAAAAAACCACTGAAAATAGAAAAATATATCTTCAGCGTACCTGAGCATAGATAGTAAGATAGTAAACTCCAGATGCAGGAAGTCGGAAGTAAAAATTCAACCGATCTTTTGTCGTTTCTTGAAGCAAGAAGCTTTTCAATTCCATATCAATATTTGGTATCCGATCCCGTAGGTCTGCTGGGTTAGCTACCAACGCTTCTGGATTCGGATGCCCAGCGCTAGTAATCAAATATTGTAATTTGTAGGTAAATCCACCCGGACGCCAGAATCCGAGTGTCATACGTAGGCGACCATCTCGAGTGTGCACCACTCCATGATGTTGATCCAGAAAGTCTATGGCACACTTGAAAAACTGCGACTTTGTCAAAGGAAGATTTTCAAATTGTGACAAAGTCAACGGAGTTGGGAGAAGCTGCCATCTGGATTCTTCTGGAAAGTGACTGTAGACAGCCTAAATAAATAAGAGAGCAATGAAGATTCAATAAAGTGTTGCATATATATATTCTAGAAAAGTTTAGAAGTGATAAACGTTCACGATTTTGCCGTTCTCTACTTTCACTTATGCACAGGAAGCCTAGTCTTTGAGTTATGCGGTTACCAGAGGTCAAGCACAGCTGTATGGTACCAGACAGTTCCCGGTACTGGAGAGAGGATTGCTTCCTTTGAACAACATTAACAAGGAATAAGTTATAGTTTGCCAAGAAAAACGAGCAGTTTTGAACAAGCAGCACTAACAAAGTGTGGGGAATCGCAGGCTCCCGCCAAAACCACGAACCCAAAGGCAGGAGGAAAAGTCGACGTAACTGGTACTTGAAAGCCATTCATGGACTCCATCAGTTCCCAGGTTGTTCATGGTTTACGAACCCCTGCTATCCCAGTGTCTTATGAACTATCTTGGTTACCAGTAAGTGTGAGAGCACATCACTCGAAGTTAATCCGCGAACTAGTGGATTGGAAACGACAAAACGCTTGTAGAAAGCTGACCTTAAACTGGGCAATCGGGAGTGATACTATTGAAATATCTCAATAGAATCCAAATAACCTGTGCTTTGTGCTATATTTTTTATTTATATTTGATCATCAGGCTGACAGCTCCAGGTGCTTACTCGTTGGTCATGTACTACATCACGTAAGTTTTGTTTCTCTTCATATCTTGTCCTCTAAGATCTCCATTGCCCCATGAATTTTACATACACATGCCTGTTTGTCAAACTAAGCCTTTTGAAATAAAAGACAATAAACAAAGCATATGAAAACTTCTGTTCATGCACATCAAAGTGTAACAGCCATCCATTGTGAAACATAGTGATAGATTTAGAACAGCGGTTGAGTTAGAACAAACCAATGGCCGATAAATCGTTACCGCTAACATAAGCAAAATTAAAGTACAACCTTGGACCCCGACGATTATGTTCATGTGAACCATATCAACGATCTGACGGACTGTTTTGAATCGGAGTGTATGTTATATGCTGATGATCTACAAATCTGGAGACTAGTCCAGTCGGATCATGTGAGCACTCTGCAAGACTTGAATGTTTTGTGGTCCGCACGTGGTTTTAGGACGCTATATAACTCTCATGTCCGACCTAGCTTGGAGTTTGCGGGTTCCGCGGTATATATATCCACAATGGCAGAATTTCAAAGGCTGGAGAGTTCAATGAGCTGCCACTAGCTTTATTGCCGGGTTACATAGACACTGCTACACTGAGCGCTTAAAGCCTACAAGACTGTTCTCGGAGACATCATGTGTGCGGCGTATTCTTTACTGGTCAACACACGTGGACAGGGCCAAGGTTCCGTTACGAGCGAGATTCTCCCTACACCTAATAAACGACTGCCGAAAAGCCACGGAAAACGGATGCCTACAATACGGTATCAACAGCGATTGCAAATCGGCCTTCAAGGCGGAACTATCAGATCGTCTCTCAGCTAAACCATCAACCGGAGGACTCAATGAACATTGGACGGCAACCAAGGAAGCGATCTAAATGTCAATCAAAACAACGGCAGATTCTGGCACACGATCAAATATAAAACGAT